TTTTTTGGACAACTACAATCTGATAAAGTATATTACTGAGTATGAGCCAAGCTAGCCTTCAATTCGAATGTTTTGGCTATGCTGTTTTGGATAAAGCCATTTGCTATTATTACGGTGCGTAGCGGGGAAGCTGCCCGGTATATCTATTCCAAAGAACGATACTAGTCCAAGTTTGTTTGTGAGCCTTCCAGTCCAGTGTAGCTTTGCTTTGCGTTCGATGATTGGTAGTTACTAGTTATAGCTTTCTGCTAAATAATCAAGCTTAAGTTCAATGATCATGATTTTCTATTAGAGGCTCCTTTTGAATTGAAGGTAAAAAACACATGTGTATTGCAGACTCATGCTATTATCTCTTATTTTCTTTCAGCTGACCCATTCTTCTTTTTACTTTACTTTTTGCCTTCTGTTTCTTTCTTCTTGGGTAAGAAATTTCGTAGACGCCTGTTGGCACTAAGGAACTGTCCTATTGCGCGTACCAGGCAGTAGTTATGCTTTTCCTTTAATATCATTGGAACATAAAGCGTGATACGCCGGGGCCGGCGATGTGACGAGAAGCAGTGACAGTCCAACGGTAGGTTCCGAACTACCGCCAGACCAACAATAATCCCTACTGGCGTGAGAGAATGCAGCACGAAAGCACATCCGAGCAGGGGTCGGGCGCAACGCCTGCCCCTCTCATGCTCTATTCGAGCTTCTGGCGATTCGGATGCTTGTCTCCCCGCAGCACCACAATGGCGAGCGCTTTCTCTCCACCGCAGCAAGACCGAAAGGTTACACTTAATTACTGCCTGCCTCCTTGATTATTGTCACTTTTCCTAACTTTTCCTTTGAACGTCTTCTTATTTTCAATTAACCCAACCTCCCTAATTTGGATGTCGTCCAATCCGATAAGGATCCAGGACTTGCACATGTTTCACCCATACGTAGATGTAGATCTTTTCAAAGGACTGCTTCAATGAGTGCGAAGGGACCCTGATTAGCCGCAGCAATCTCTATCATCAGAGAAACTTTTTGCAAAGCCCTTTTGCAAATTTGACTTGCACGGAGTGACCCGATTTTGTATACTGAGGTTCTCGGACTTCACAACAGTTCCCATAACCGAACACATCTTGCCAAGATGCACAGGCAGCTACGCTTGGATACCTCCGTTGGAGACAGTCAGCGATATTCCTTCATTGAGACGCCACTTGAAATGCATGCTTCTGGATTACGAAATGGTCAACAGCAGCAAGAACCACTGCCGTCGCAATCAATAGCAGGATCCAAGTCTGATCCTCTACCCGCACAGGCTGCAGCAGAGCAAGGACAACCAAAACGCCTACCACCATTGAATGAGAAGGCGCAGTATGTGCGGCAAGAAATGATGTCTCCTGGTCACCCAGGAGGGCCGAATTCTGAAGAGCACCCTGCCATCTCTGCCCCCTTTGCCGACGTGGTGCCTCAGCCGGTCCAGCAACACGATGCAGTTGTGCCGGACTACTCGTATGCGGTGCCGCCTCCAAACTCCCCAGGACCACTTCCGGCCAAGACCTATCCAGAAACCCCAGCGCAAGTAACCCGGTTACAAACTATGGCTATTGTACCGGACACGAATCCCCTGCAGTCTCCACAAGTACCCTACTTTCCTGGACCACCGAAGGCCTCAGGGACATCCTACACGCCATTGGCAGACGAAGTTGCAGCCTACCATCGGCCAGGCCAGGTATCGCACCCTAATCAACAGATAATAGGTGGAACATGGAGTCATGGCATGTGCGATTGTTCAAACGTTTGGACCTGTTGCCTTGGCATCGTGTTCCCTTGTGTATTATATGGGAAGACGCAGTATCGTCTTTCACAGATATCAAGGAAAGAAGACCCGACAAACTTGTTAGGTCATGAAACATGTAATGGGTCATGTACAGCGATGGCTCTCTTATGTGGCTGTCAATGTGAGCATTACTATCCCGTGGTCTCGGCACTGGGTGTTGACAGTTTCTATAGGGCTCATGGCGACAATCCAACATAGACGAATCCGCAAAGCGTATGGTATCCGAGGAGACATTGCATCAGATTGTGTTAGAGCGACCTGTTGTACATGCTGCACTCTCATACAGGATGAAAAAGAAATCAAGACACGTGAGGAAGAGCGTGCGAATGCAGCCAGGGCTACAGGAGCAATCCTTGTATCGCCGTATTTGGCTCCCCCGCAGATGACATACGGTCCTTTGTCAAGATAAGTGAGATAATCTTTGATATCGCAATTATCGTGAGGCGTGGACGAGATGTTAACGCTCTGACTCGGGTATAAACGGCGGTCTCCGTCGAGACACATCGCCTATTTGCATTTATGAACATTCACCATCTTCGCTATATACCCAGCACACTTTACTAAAATTAATTTTTTGTTTTATACAAAACTTCAAGCCGGATTTGACGTCAATGATTCATAACAATTCACTTGCATACAGCGGTTAGTTCGCTTCGGTGTGACGCTGGGCCCTTAAAATTCGAGAGTCTGGCATTTTTGTGTATATACAACTCTCAGACAGCCTGTATATAGAGAATGGAAGACGCAATGTAGATTGAACTCTTAGGAAAGATTGAAAGTTTCAAAGAAACTCAGTTCTTGAAATGCGGGCAGAACGTGATCGGCTGATCATCTACGCCTTTGTTAGGCGGTGACGCCAACGACTGAAATCTGGACCGTAGTGGCGGATCCTTATGGCGCTCAGCGGTACGGAGTTAATCGCATAGAAAATGTACCACTATCCGACTCCGACCCTCGCTTGCATCTATCCCAGCCAGTTACTGCTTCAACAATTTTTATCGCTTCGTTCGATTTATCTGCATATACGGCTTTGATTGTATCGGTGTACTCGACTCTTTTGGTCCTCGCCGTCGCGCCTTTTCTGTCACTTTCCGTTCCGATCTTCGGCATCTAGTCACCAACTTCTCGGTTGAACACGCGGGACCAATGGAGGTTTGAGAGCTATTTTGAACGCTTCCTCGGCTGGGAATGGTGAGGATAACTCGGATGGTTCTGTGGCATATATGAGTGACTACAACCGCGTGGTCTATCTGCTCAGATTGATCGTTCGACCATGGGGGATGACGTTCGTCTAGCCCCTCGCCAGATATGGGCACAGCCGACGACGTCTCTACGAAGACTTACCACCCCGGATGTACTCCATTCGTGCTCCCCAGTGAAGGTATGCTGCAAATGAAGATGTGATTCTACGCGATGTCACTTCCGGGCAAGAATTTGGTTGCCTGCGCTGTCGGGTCTCGAAATCGGGCTAACATGACTGCCTGTGACCTTTTCTAGGTTACATTTATCTCAATCTCTCCTACTCGATAGCTCTATCAGAAAATGCAGTTTTCGAGCCAGTCTGCACGAGTACAGCGACCGCATCCAGAGGTCCATCACCAATGCTCGATACCCGTGACCCCTTTTACGCTTCGGTGACTCCGCAATTATATGCTATCGGCTGCGCAACTGTAGTTAGCTACCTTCTCGTTATTATTCTTCTTATAACACCACGCACGTTTTATGTTGGTGGTCCTGGTGGTGGGGCCAACTTCCTAGGTCGCCATGGCATGATCAGTGGCTCCTATAGCGGTAATTCCTCGGTGGTGGGAGTTGGCGGCCGGCCATGGCTGCAGAAAGTGGCTGCGCTACTTGTTGCTATATCGTTGACAATTGCGACTGCTGATTCATTCAAGGTGGCCGAGGACCAGTATATACACGGCTACTCTGATGCCGATGCGCTTGCCTCGCAGGTCATCGACGGCATGGAAATCCGCGTTATCAGAGTTATATCGAGCACTTTTCTCTGGCTTGCCCAGGTTCAAACCCTGATTCGACTCTTCCCTCGACATAAAGAGAAGGTTATGATTAAATGGGCTGGTTTCGCCTTGATTGTGTTGGACACGATTTTCAGTATTTTAGATAAATTCCTGGTTCAGAGCAACACTACACGACCTCGATTATATGAAGATGCAATACCCGCGCTCAGTTATCTTTTCGAGCTTGCACTTAATTTGCTTTATGCGGCATGGGTCATTTTCTACTCGCTATCCAAACATCGGTTCGCGTTCTTTCACCCAAAGATGAGGAACATCTGCCTAGTGGCCCTTTTATCCTTATGTGCGGTTCTAATACCAGTTGTGTTTTTCGTTTTGGACATCGCAAAACCTGAAGTCGCTGGCTGGGGTACATACATCAGGTGGGTTGGATCAGCGGCGGCTAGTGTTGTGGTTTGGGAATGGGTAGAACGCATTGAAGCTTTAGAACGAGATGAAAGGAAAGATGGTATTCTCGGCAGGGAAATTTTCGATGGTGATGAAATGCTTGAAGTGACTCCTTCTGAAGAGGTCGACTGGCCTCGCCAGAACACTAGAAACGATAGAGGAGGAGGCACAGGCACATCTTCGGGATGGGGAGGAATGATGGGGCTGGCTCAGCGCCCATTGCGCACTCGAGTCGGTCATCCTGGGGGCCGTAACCGGCAAACTCGTGCTGACGCACAAAACTCTGCCATTCCCAATGACCCCCGCCACCGGGGAACAGCCCGGCCTACTCCGCCACCCGCTGCTGCCACACCTGTCAGCCGGGCGGACACTACGAGCGCTGCCAGTACTGTGTACAATGTACATTATCATCCTGTCTCTAGCCCTACACCGCCAGTCGCCATGCCGCATATGGAGGAAGAAAATGAACCCGACGACTATGGCGATGTGGCCACCAAGGAATTGGATACCGCTGTGGAGGAGCATCGATCAAATTCGGCTCGTGAGCACAGCTCAGCGGAGCATACCAGGGAAGAGTCGCCCCAGATCATCAACGTGGACGACCGATGGCGTACTATACTCAACCCCTTCAGGCGCAGGCGTGCGTCTCTACCTAGGGAAGTTGCTTCAGCACAAGCAGAGGAGCAGGATGACCCTAGTAGAGATGGAGATGAGTTGTACCACAGGGAGACCAGCGAGCAGGATTCGTCGCGACCCGTGGTCAATCGTTTATTCGCGCTCAACCGCAAACCCAGGCCCGGCTCTGGACGACAAGGTTCTGATACCCCGTTGCCGGTAACGGTTATCCCCGCAAGGCGTCGAGGCCAGCACACGTGGTCGCCTGAGTGGTTCACGGAGTCCAGTCTTCTTGAACCATCCCCGGGTCAGCAGCCCCGGCCAAGTCGCGCTGACTTGCCAGTAAGGGTGATACAACCACAGGCTCGCACAGCCGCACCTTGGGCAACGCCTAACGAAGGAGAATTTGGCTATGGCAATTATGAGTTACGTTATGACCCCGAAGCGGCAGCGCTCGTGGGACCTGATGAAGCTCAATCTCATCCTCAGTCGACCGATAACGCTCGTTATGATACATATGTCGACCCCGAAAGACATTCCGTTGCTGAAAGGCATCGCCAAACTCAAGAACTAGATCAATCTGCGCCCGAGCAGCTACAACCACCACAACATCATCAGCCGACCAATTCACTGACTGACAGTCAGGCCACCCTTGAAAATTCTAGACCTCAGTGAGAATCCGAGGCTCATGTTCCTAGGAACACACTTCTTTGGCGAACCGCGTATTTGTCGGTCCCAGTTAGACGATGCATGATGACCTTAATCGTCGAATTTCTTTGTCTTTACATTAACCTTTGATATATGCTTGATTTAGCGGGAGTATCGCTGGATGTATCTACCGGGATGCTTACTTTTCTTGATCTTCTTCTTTCTTGTATTCTTCTTTTTCACTTTATCGGGACTGGCACAGGGATCACTGGCTTGGGGGTCATATGCGGGAAGTGGGAAGGGTCTATGGTCCACACACTGCGTTCCGAAGGTTTGAGCAAGGTTCTAATGCAGTGGCGAAAGGGGGTTTTGGTGCACAAAAGATACCCATGGGATTTACGTATCAAGATAATTCACTGTAGTTACTACCATTATATAAGCTGTACATACTAATATGAATTCATTTGATTGGATTGACACAGCCTCTCCGTAGAGTCGGGTCGAAATACTTGCAAGACTAAATCTAGCTTGGCGAGGGGTTTAGTACTTTATCACTAAGTTTAAATATCAGATTGACTTCTTGATTTGCTCAAGCCGCGTCGTATCGCTTTTAAGCTACACAGATTCTCGTATAAGTTATTGAGGCGGGCCACTAGGTAGTAAGTTGTCACTAGTCACTGGCTGCCAGGTGACGTGGAGACTGTGCCTAAACTTCCTTCCAACATACAGATAGAAATAGATATCGGGAGGTCCTTGAGGAAAACGGATCGAATCCCTGAAGCTCTCCAAACCAATCTAAAGATATTTGGCCAAGAATAACAGGGATCCTGCGATCGAGGGGAAGCAATTTTCGGGAGGTAATCGGGGTCTCTTCGTGGAATCTGGTCTTTGTGCTGATCGGCGCGGGTTAGCTTCAGGAGGAAACCCCAAGAGAAAAAATAAGGCTCTCCACTCACATTTCTCCGCCTCCGCCCATTGCCGTCATCGATCGATGCCTTACGCTGTACAACGCAGTGCACTCGCCCTCCTAATCCAAATCACTCGCTAGTCGATGCAGCGACATCATCGCCTCTGGGCGTCGCACTATGGCGGCTGTCAATCGGAATATGTTTGACGCCAGCGTTACAACAGATCGGCCGCGCGGAGCGTCGTTGATGGTTCTACCGTTGAATCTGATCGCGCTCATTATCTCCCACGTATGTTTAACTTGATCCATCTGCGAAATACGCAAGCGATCAAGCTAACTTAGAGCTCCTAATTCCTACAGTTGGAAGATCCCGGCGACCTTGCTCGCCTGTGTCGAACATGTCGAGTCCTCAACTACATGACGCTCCCGCAGCTGTACAAGAGCATTACCCTGACGTCCTACGATAGGATCCGATACCGTGGGGATCAGCCAGAAGGGATGGGAAGCGCAAGCCCCTTCTCAATGGGTCTTAACGCCATTATCACCCGTCCGTACGCATCGCTAGTTCGGTCGCTGACGCTCCGAGGAAACTGGCGGGAGTCAGAGCTGGAAGAGCATGCGCGCATTGGTCGGGTGACAGATTCCTCCATGATGCTGAATATTGTGGTTCGGGCGGCCATCGACAAGATGAAGGAGTTGGAAAGCTTCAGCTGGGAGCTCAATACCAAGATGCTGGAAACTGTCTACCTCGGACTGGCGCAACAACCTAAGCTGACATCGCTGACTATACGATTTCCCTCGAGCCGTCACCCTCGACCGACGATTGTCATACCCGCAATGCCTCATCTACGGCGCTTGAAAATCACCGATATTGACCCTCTTTGCTACCCAGACGACATTTCAACTCTCCTTTGGAAGTGTAAGAAGTTGCAAGAACTCAATATGCACTGGTCACCTCGAATGAGAGAAGAGCAAGAGCCTAGCGTTATGGTCCATGACTACTTCCGCAAATGCATATCAGCAAAGCAGCCTCTTCGAGTCAAGAAGATAGGGCTTCAGAACTTGTACGCTCTTCATACCGAAGAGTTCAATCTTGCGTTCGATCAGACCTTGGTCGAAGATGTCACCATCCTTACGGATACCAAATCAGACGACTACAACTTCATGAATACGTTTGTTGACAGCACCTGGCCGATTGCCCCTCCTCATGTCGTCAGGATCAAGGGCATTAGACAGGATCGTTTCAATAGGAGGCATGCGGACTTTCTAGGAAATTTCACTGGACTAGAAAGACTGTATTTCGTCAATGCAACACCCAATCCAAACGACATGAGATCACCTAGACACTTGGAGTACCCGGCCCCCACGCCACCCTTTGTGGACCATAATCACAACAATCCAGGCAGTGCTCCAGCCTATACTCCCGAAAATACACCTTCCTGTTCTCCCGGATTGCAGGCCAGCATCCGTGATGCCTACCTCAATAATATAATTATAAACCACGCTGCAACTCTACGGCATCTCTTGCTCCCTTCCTACTGGCCGCTCTCATCAAATACGATTGCCCGTATTGTTCACTCTAGCCCGCAACTTGAGCAGCTTGCTTTTGCAACAGAATTCTCCAGCATGGAGACGCTAGGGCTATTACTCCCATTCCTCCGTAACCTGGTTGCTGTACGCCTTCTAGTTCCGACCGGTGCTACGTCGTCGTCGCCGCAGACTCCACGGCCACCGAAAGCGAGCTTGGGGCTCTTATCATCACGTTCAGCGGAAGAGGTATTTACATCCGCGCTATCTCTTGCAGATATCGTGGAAGCCGACGACGACATCCTAATTGAAAAGTTCTCTGAATCGCTAGCGGATCCACAGGTATTCAGTCAGCTGAGGTTTTTCGGTTTCGGCTGGAAAGCATTCGAGCTTTTGGACTACTATACAATTCCCGCTGTCCCTCCCCCTGAGCGTACTGTTGAATCGCAATCACAGTCACCAGCAGATCTAGTGGGCGAGGAGGTCAATGGATGTCGAGAGCCTTACCAGAATGGATTGTCACAGAGGGACGACGGAACAGCCGCCTCTTGTATCTTGACTCCAGCCCCGGCTTCCCAAACCCCGCCCACCGGGCCAGCACCGAGGACAAGCCAGGCTCCGTCGTTGCTAGGCAAACGAAGGCGGGAACATGACCTGAACCTAGGAGCACCACCCAAGAAGGGAATGTCGCGTGAAACCCCCATAGATATATCGGAACTCAACCTTGTCTGCCAACACCGATCATGAATAACAACCGTGTATGGAGACGTCGGGTGCGACGAGTGGACTGGGACATAGTAAAACGCTACGAGATATGGGGCCTGGACACGCAAGAATTATGATCACTGTCTGTATCGTCACAGACAACCATTTCGAACTGCACATATATGCTTTGGGGTTCCAGGATGGGAGGGGCGTTAGTTGTTTTCGTTCGCCCCCGGTTTTTATATGGGATGGGGTGAGTACTGGTATCATATTGTTCATACGGGGTCCGATTGCACAAATTTTGCAGGTTGTTCTTGTGCATAAGTCAAGGCTATATACAACGCTACATATTCTGGTCTGCGGAGCATAGTCGGTGTTGGGTACACGGCTATCTCTTGCCCGGGTTTCCTGCTACTGTCTGTCCAGGTTCTCGATTTCAATTTTTCACCTTTTTAAGATATCCCTGTTGCGTACATTTATTGTACACTTGAGAACATAACTCCACTATTACGATTAAATCTATGGATGTGTGAAATCCATTCTGAAACTAACAGATATTGAGGCTATACAGCTATATTTCTAAATATAATTCCTAGCGTGAGAGTGACGATGCAAATTTAATTAGATTCCACTCCAATTTCAGGACAATATAAAGTTCCTATACTAGTGATTTCGCGGTCTCAGGCTGTTCTGGTAGAACAGGTGGTCAATGTGAATTTTTGGGAAATACAACTGTAAAATTGGGGCCAAAAGACCACTTTCATTTCCATCTTTAATAGTAATAAAATTCAAATCTATTTTGAGATATTATATTTCATCTAATCTATATAGATTTTCCACATTCAGATACGATTTTAGTTTCAAAACTCAACACTGGCGGGTTCGGGTTTCGGCCAGGTCCAGTGAGTGGCATGCCATGGCCTAAAACGGAGAAAAGCAACCATGCAATCTTCATCCAATTCTCGATGCCTCGCGCTGAATAACAGCCATGTACAGAATACGACGCGGAATTTTTTTTTTAAAAAAAAGCCACGCTAACCCCAAAATCCATATCCAGGAATATCTCTTTGACTAGTCGTGGTATGCTCCTAATATCACAGTAACTCCTTTGTCTAATGCTATCCGCCCTTAGGAGAGCCTATCCAGTACGAGCAACTTTTCGAATACACGAACGGACGATTTCTGGTCAATAAGAAGCACGAACTGTCAAAGCGATATGCCAAATTTAATCTCGACGCTCTCTGCACCGTAGTTTCGTCTCTGCCCTCTGTGTCTTCACCTATATCCAAAATTGATAAATTGGAGGGTGGCTTCAACAAAGCATTGTTGATGACAGCTGAAAATGGAAACGCGGTTATTACGAAGATACCATGTCCTAGCGTTGTGCCTGCGGAGTATAGCACTGCATCTGAAGCGGCTTCCTTGGAATATGGTAGGGGTCTTCTTGTGGTTTCTTTCGAGTTTCCACTGCTAATTCAGATGGGTTTCGATAGTAAGGTCTCATACCTCTGTTCCGGTTTCCAAAGTCCTTGCATGGAACTCTGATTCTTCGAATCCCGTCGGGTCGGAGTACATTGTGATGGAGAAGGTAAACGGTAGACAGTTGGTTGATGTATATGGGGTGAGATGAACCAGCTGCAACAGTTCAAGCTGATTCAAAATCTGGTTCGGCTGGAGAGTCAGTTGGCTTCGATAAGAGTTTCCTGGTTATGGAAATCTGTATTTCCGTCATTCAGCTAAACTCAGAAGTCAAATCATCCCCATAAGTGATGATTATTGTATTGGCCCTGCCTATAATGCGTCGTGGTTTCCACAGTTTGGCAACCAAGATTATGCTGGCCCATGTTTGTCATATCTGAGCCTTCTGTATCGCTGGCCTCGGGCTAACATTGGCATCCGCATAGGGGGCGAGTCTTTCTGACCTGTGTCTTGCGCTGGCTAATCGAGGCCTTACGCATGCGCAACACTCGACTCTCGTTCCTCGTGGACCCCATTTCGGTGGTCGCGTCGAACATATCTACATCTTGGGAAACTGCTATGAAGATCATACCGAAGCTAGTGAGCTATAGTAGCATTCAGCGCTTCTCCAGACCAACCCTGTGGCATGGGGACCTTCGTTTGGGCAATATATTTGTTTGCAACAAGGGACCCTACGAGAATCGTTGGCATAATAGATTGGCAATTTGTGTCAATCATGCCTGCGTTCATGCAAGTCCAATGGCCATCCTTTATTAGCCCTCCTGAAAATTACGAAATTGGGATTGTCAAGCCGGACCTACCACCAAACTTTGACGAAATGGACTCGGACGAGAAAGCTTATGCGATAACGGAGAGAGATCGAGCTTTGCTATCAAAATGCTACGAAGCAACACTTGCTAAGAATCACCTTGAGTCATACTTGGCTTTAACTCAAGTCGACTCAGTCGCACGACAATCACTCTCCTTGACTCAAAACACATGGAAGCACGGGATAATCCCACTCCGTGATTCTCTAGTCCAGATCTCCGAGAATTGGCGCCAAATAGGTCTCTCCGGACCTTGTCCGTACCAGATTACAGGGGAAGACGTATCAGGACACAGGCTTGAGCTTTCTCGGTATAAGGATTGGCACAAGCTTAAAGCATACACGCAGGAGTTATTGCATTCACATGATGACGGCTGGGTACCGCCCCATCTTGACTTTAACAAAGTGCAGGCGAGACACAGTGAACTGTTTCAACTTTATATTCGGAAAGAATCTGAGGAGGTATCAGAAGAAGAAGCAAAGAAGCTTTGGTTTTATATTGACAGAGTGTGACAAGGTAGACTTTCATAGGTGGAAAGCGTGGAAAGAGGGATAATGATGGCCGCGTTAGTGTAAAACTGAACTCGGCTGCCGGTATAAGGGCATCTTTGTTGATATTGATATTTCCAGAGGCTGAATTGGCATGGCCTGTGTTCTTCTTCACCCACGTTTGGAGTGATTCATTGGAAGCTTTATAGTGTGGCTGATCACCGGCTAGGTATAGATATACTCGGCTGCTCATTTTCGCCTCCGGGAAAGATAGTAAGAAGAAGTGCTTCTGAATGAAATATTACGCCTGTATGGCTTTTTATACCGGGAGACATATTTTAGGGGAATGTTCTTGGCCTGCGCTTGTTATTATTTTATTTACTTTTTTATACTTCTTTTTGGAAGGAAGCTTTACGTGTATTCCGTTTTACTTTTTATTTATTTCAGTAGCAGAACTTCAAAATCGAAACCCCACGGAATGATTTGTTCCATGAAGACAAATTTGATTTCGTTAAAGACTATAATCGTAAGGTACGTTAACTCAACATTGGATGACGGTGTGTCGCAGACCGGGGACGAAGACTTGGAAAACGACCGGAGAATACCAATCGTCTTCTTTCATCACCCAGACTGATTTAAGCAGACAACAAAGACACCACCGTACTCCACAAAGAATCATAAGCCATGTACGTGTCGAGGTTGCTCATGTAGGTGTGGCTGGAGATACTGCGCAGCTGCGTAATCAAGGTCGAAAGGTCGGTATCGGACGGGATGCCGTAAACCATGGTAGCGAAACGGCTCAGATCGAGTCCCTTGACCTTCTCGAATTCGTTGGCGGAGTAAGCGGACTGGAACTCGCTGTATGCAGACTCGAAGATGACCGTAGAATCGGGGATGTCCAGGTAGGATGCATCGGGCACTGCGCCGGGGTTTGTGACAATCTATATATACCGGTCAGTGAATGAATATGCTATTATTGCAAGGGGTTCAGCGTACGTAGTTGTTAGGGCCCAGTCCGGTGCTTTGTCTGATGGTCGAAGCCAGGTTCGTGTAGTAGGTAACGGTCTCGGCGCTGTAATCCGTGGCGGCTTCGTCGAGGAAGATGCCATGCACGGCGAAGGAGGACTTTCCGCTGGCAGATGGCCAGGAGGCGTAGGTCTGGATGTCCTGTTCGACTTCCGAGATGTCTCGAGTTCCCTTCTGAGTGCTCACATAGCCGAGGACGAGTGCATTGCTGTAGGAGGCCAGTCTGGGAACTGCCGAAAGGAAGTTCGTGTCAGAGGCAGTGTTTGAGCCGGGTCCATTATCGGGATTGATGATGATGGTGAACTGGACATCGGGATTGGCAAGGATCCTGTTCGGTTAGTTTCCCTGATATTGGCTTTGTGGGAGATCGACTTACAGTTCTTCCAAGGGTGTCCATGCGCCGGCTGACGGATACAGATAGTATGGGATCATGACCTTTGCCTTTGAAGTGCTGCTACCTGACGAAGAGGCAGAGGCAGAGGTAGACACAGAGGTAGATGCAGATGCAGTCGCAGACGCAGAGGAAACCTCGACGATAGAGGTAACGGTAGGAACAGAGGCAGAAACAGATGTAGATGTAGATGCAGATGCAAACTCAGACTCAGAATCAGACTCAGACTCAGGCGAGGAAACCTCGATGACAGGGGTCAAGGTGGAGCTGGAGCTGGAAGTAGCTGCAGGAGCATCGGAAGTGATGATAACCGTGGGAGCGACGATGTTCTGCACTGTTGAAGTAGCATCGACATTTACAGTCACAGTCACCGTCGTCGTTACAGATGTCGTGGCGGCTGCACAGGCACCAACTGACAGAGCAGAATCATGGGAGCCTCCAGGGCTATGTTGGATACGTTGGCTATGTCGGTGACGATACGGAATATGCGTAGCATGCACATGCTGGGACAAAAGCGATATGCAACCCAATGCACCCACAAGGGCAGTTGAGGGATTGTTGAAGAGCATATTGAGAACTGAAAGATTCAAGGAATGACTAGAGCTAGAAAAAAAGGAATGAAGGAATGAAGGAACGACTGGTTGTCTATCGAAGAAACCAACACTTGCCAGAAGTTGTTGGAATGAAGGTCAAGAAAGAAATCATCAGCATACAAAAGAGAAGTCGATTCAGTCGGATCTGACTAGTTTAAGCGAGTCGATCTGACCTTTCCTGATCCAGACAAGATGATACAGTTTGTGATCCTGAGTCCCACTTTTTTATATTGTACCAGATCCAGGCAACTTAGTATTA